TGTGTGTGTGTGTGCACACTGCACTTTGAGTTTTTAGCTGATAAGTCAAAATGCCAGCGTTCAAAATGCAAAACCACCGGGTGACATCACTGTGGCTACATCCAGCGTTTCTATACCATCTATCAGCAGACGGGTTTAAGAATACTGAAACAAAAGGGCACATTTAATGTTTTTAAATAGATTTACAAAAGCCTGAGGAATCTGAGGTTCACTAAATGGGATGAATGGCCTGTTTTCAGCATCTTCTTCCTGCAGGATGATTGCATTTGTCTCTGCCTATCAGGGACCCTCACACTGACATACGCCAGCTCGCCCGACGTCGATAACCCCACAAACATCGCTGCTGTTTAGATTTCTATCTTCATTCATTTCCAAAGTAATAGGAAAGCTGCATATTTTAGTTTTATAGAAATCCCTCAGTCAGAACGTGGTATATCAACCGCAGATGGAAACTAGTGAGCTAATTTCCAAGCCCATTAAACCTCGTAAATCCTCTTTTTCATGGATGCCATGATGTCAAACTTCACTGTAACACCCCAGAGAGACGCCACATTGAACGTTTCGGGGAACAGAGAAGAGTTTGGCCCTGGAAATGCCTCATGACGTCAGGCTTAAGAGGAGGATTGATGAGCAGGCTGCTAGAACAAACCTCTTGTTGCTGTCGCAGCACTGGTGCGCTCCCGTCCCTCTGACTTACACAGAATCGGTGCCTCGTACCTGCTCCCCCACAAATCAACTCCCCCGTAGTCTGAAAACCTCAGCAAAACTTCTTTTACTCTAAATTGTGTCGTTTCCTTTTCTTCTGTTAGTAATCCCAGGTATCATTAATATCACAGAATATCTTTAAGTCGCTGGAACTAAAGGATCCTGACTTTAACAGGTAAGCTTTTCTCTCTGGTCGAGGCCTCTAACTCTAACTCCCTGACCTTGTCTCTGAAGAAACGAGCTGTCTGGAATCAGACACTGCAGGGTGGAATTGCAAAACATCCAAATGCATTAACTGTGTCAATGTTAGCAGTGTTTTCAATTAAAACAAGAGCTGAAGGTAAACAGCTGAGTGCACACAGCTCGACGTTCTGGCCAGAGGACTAAGACGAGCAGTCGCCCTGCACAGTCCTGAGGTTTGAGGTTAGCTGAGGACACGCTCGTGTCTCATGGTAATGTGTTTACACTCACTGGCCCTCCTGCTTCCTATTCCCACTCCAGTGATTACATTACAAGCACAATGCCAGTGTAAGGTTACTGAGTGCAGCAGCGAGAGGGCTGCTAAAGACCAGTATGAGGCTGATCAGACCAAACTACCCCCAGCCCTAACCGATAATACCCGAGCGTAGCCCGGAGCTTGGTGGGAGTGAAATGAAAAGGGGCTCACTTCACAACGCTGAGAGGATTTTCATCTGTCAGTATCAGATGAAAAATCTTCAGTGGAATCTTTTGTGGGCTGCGAGCAAGCCAAAGCAATATCTCAGCAAAAGCAATTTGATTACGGAGCCCCGCTCGGTGTCGGAGGGGAACGTCTAGCCCTGAGAGTTTTGCTGAGTCACTTTAGCAGAGGAAGTTTGACACAGAGGAAAGGGAGTGACACAGAAGAGATCACAGAGAAGAGCTGCTCGATGCAAAGGCTTCCGTTCCAAAGCAGCTTCTTTGAAGTGGGAAAACACGGCACGCGGGGCTCACCAGCAAACACTCTCGACGGTAATGGCCGAGCAGCTCCTCGTCGTGCCCTCTGTACAGGCCTTTTAACAAAAGCTCCTTGTTGTACTGGTAGGCGTAAATCAGATACATGAGAGCCTCCACATAACTGGAAAGAAAGATATTACATTCAGATAAAACTGTAGCAAAGACACACTGGCGGCTCACAGAGTAACACAAGAAATGAACTCGGTGAACCCACTGCACAACTTTAACGCTGGGGAGCTGCACGATTGTGAGCTGCTGCCCCCTGCAGGTAAACACCGAGATGGGAAATTACATGAAAATAAAGGAAATCAGTTAAATCTCTACAGAGACGCTAGGTTTGTTTATTTGAGGTTTTTTATACGTTTGCTAAAGAGGCGTCGACATACTTGGTCTTCTGGAAGAGCTCCAAACCGGTCACCATGAGGATGGTGGTTTCACGAAAGTTCCTGTAGTCCTGATGCCATATCTGATGGAGACAAGCCAAAGTCAGATTGTCCAGGAAGTGTGAATCTGCTCAAATGTACAGTTTTAAATGAACAAAAGACAGACGACAACTTCTGACCTCGTATTCGTCCATGTTGACCTCCTCGGGTTTAATCAGGTCCAGTTTGGCACGTGCCACATTCATAATGCTCTTACATCTGTGAGAGGAAGAGGAACGGGGGGTTACTGAAACGGAGCTGGTGAGTCATCGTGAGGTACTCCAGGAGATAAAACGCTCCACCCTGCCCCTAGGCCTTAACGTGGCTTAATGAATCACTCTTTAGTGCTGCGAGGACTAGTGAAGCACTCCTCCAGAGGCTCCTATTGAGGCCACATTCACACATAAATCTAATTATCTCGCTCAAAATAGAGAAGGGAGAAATCAATTTTTCTCTCATGAATATGGATCGAGGCCAACAATCATAGCTGAAAAGTTTTAAGAAATAGTAAGGGACATTACGCACCCTAATGACACCAAAATGTCAGAGTTAAAAGAGGGGGGGAATTGATATACTGCAGTGGTAATTTGAAAAGAAAAAGTCAGTACTGGACGTGTGCCTTGTATGATTTGTGTTCGAACAAAAGGCAGAAGGCGTGCAGATCAGAGAGGATTAGCAGCATGAAAGTGTTGCTCTGATGAGACACAGTCAGTCTGTGCTCATACAGTCTCTGCTACCCTCTGCTGGTCACTACGAAGAACCGATTTCTGACACAGCCATGGGGGAAAAAAAATGCAACATGATCATTTTTTAAATTACTCGCGGCAGAGTGAGGACTGCACCTCTCATCGAAGGCCAGGTTCCTGTCAGCAAACTGTGTGAGCAGAGTCCTCTCCAGAATCTTCTTGGGTGCCTGGTTTTGGATGAAGTAAACGATGATGTGCTGCAGTCGGTAGTCGTTCTCAACCGGCGTGTCTTCTTGGGCAAATCTCAAGAGACGTGCATACTCCATCTTGATGGCCTGAACAAAGAGACGAAGGAAAAATAAGCTGCTCGTCACTGCGTGAGAGAGAAGTTACTTAACCCTTTAAAACCGGTGGGAGCGGGCACGCTCTGTTTTGCGTAACTACTTTTGGATCCCGGTAGCTCTGCAACCATGTAAGCTAGCGCAATAATTTATTTGCATATGAAACCGGAGAAGTTGTACTTACATCTTATGCCATCAGCTTGTCCTAGGCAACACAAACATAATATTCCAGAAACACGCTTTGCCGACTCGATCAGCTGTTCATAACACTTCCTACGTTGGAATAGACGTCAGCGCGAACCTTTGCATGTCCGCCATGACCTGCCTGAAACCGGAAGTGACGTTATTTTCGCGGAAATGTAGTTTTTTACCATCAGGGCCTCATGAGCCTATACTGGTGTTTTTAAAAGTCATGTTTGACTTTATGACTTTCTGTGTCGTTTCTGGGATGCTTAGGACTCATATTGCACTGCTGGAAATAGTTTATTTTGATGCATATGCTGCTTTTTTGCAAATTTGCATTAGAATATTTATTTTCGTTTTTCCTGCATAATATAAAAATTGGTGTATTTCAAAAATTTAACTATGAAGACACTCAAAATAAATTTCCTGTGGTGGGAAACTATTTTTTGCAACTTTTTTGTATTTACAGTTTTGAGGGATAAGCCTCTTAAATTTCTCTAACTAGAAATATATGTAAAAAAACAAAAACGATTTTCAATTTTTTTGTAGTTTATTGCACTTTTTTGCAATTTATGTAATTACTATGCACTTAATGCAGACATATTATTAAAATCTGAGCTATAATGGTTGTATTGATGTATAGCAACTTGAAATGCTCCCAAAAATGGCTCCACAGCATGTAAAAATATAATATAAGCTCTGGCGGACTTGGTTCTATGGTAGGTCTTAAAGGGTTAAGTAAATGACAGCTTAATTTAAGCAGCACACCTGAGTGCCGCATGTGTACATGTAAGCCCCTAAAACTACTCCACTGTCACAAACTGAATCCAAATGTGGGAAACGCTGCAGTGGTCTGAGGAACAATGTTACACTGGAACACAATAAAAGAAGAGGAGGTGAAGGAAGTGAGTGAGAGCGGAAAGGAGAGAGAGGTTGTACCTTAAAAAAGGCCGCCTCGGGCCCACTCTTTTCATACACGCTGCTGGATTTGCCAATGGCCATAATTACACCCTGCATGTCGGGGGTCATCATCGCCTGCCCAGGAAGCAGGAACCGTGTTAAACAAGGCCCTGGTGATGAACTGAGCAAGGTCAGGCACTGTGTTATCTGCTCTAACTTTCTACAGCAAGGCGTACCATAGTCAGGACATGCCAAACATCACTCAGCAGTCCATGCACCGGTTGGTTAGACGGGCAAAAGTCGGCGGGGATGCGACCGGTCAGTTTAAGAGGCGGAACGCGCAGAGCTCGCAAGGAGAATGTGGAAAAACCAAGACAGCCTTATGGAAAATGTGTGACAGACAACCCAGAGTGCAGGAAGACAGGCTGGAGCAGCAGCTCTACAGAGGATATTCAGCACTCACTGACCAGCAAACTACCGCCAACATTTACAGAAACATTGATAGCTGCATGAAAGCTATCTGTTCATTTTTACCTCGGCCAAGGAGGTTTGATGTTTTTGGTAGCACTTGTGTGCGTGCGTGTCATTCTGTCTGTAAACACGACAGCTCGAGAACATTTGAATAAATGCTGATAAAACTTTGTAGGGGTGCAGGTGGGGTGGTGTTAACAATCCACGTTGGAAGAAAGGAGGAATATCGTTCTATATTAGTTAGAGATGCTTTAGCATCACATTATATAATAAACTCAAGTTAATCGGTCCGGTTATTTATCCAGCACCTATTCCGACATAATGTTGGTGTAATCAAAGTCATGTCTGTCATGCTACATACAACTTCTTACAGTGTTGTTTAAGAAGAACAAAATACAATACTGCCTCCTTAAAAGTACAGAAGATTGAGCTGCCTTGGCGGAGGTTTGCGCTCTTGTGCAAGTAGTAGGGCTGCACGATTTTGCATAAAATGAGAATCACGATTTTTTTGCTTAGAATTGAGATCACGATTCTCTCACGATTTTCTTTTCCAGTATAAATATTTATTGCGCTTATTAACTGCACATCAACTTCGTAACAGTTGAGACTGAACATAAAAACAATAAATAAACATAAAAACAACAAACGTCTCACGTTTTGTCGTTGCCGCAAAATGTTGTACTGCTTGAAATTCCGTCTCCACCGT